CTTTGAGATAAAAGATGACCCTCGTGATGCCAAGTCAAAGTCGAACTAGAAGAAGACGACGAAAACGACGACGAAAAACATTAAATTTTACTGATTCTTTGTCGTGACAAACGCAGTTTATAAAGCATTTATTCAGCTAAAAAAGAAGTGTCACATTTAAAAAAACATCAATTTTTTCATACTCGTCAGGTGTGCCTCCAATTTGAGCTCACCTCTCTTTTTGTCTGCACTAATCTGACCAACACCGAGCAGCCATCAAGATGATTCCAAAGGTATGTAGAATGCACTAGTCAAAATATAAATCTTGCTTTAAAATAGCAGAAATACCTTAAAACTTGAATTTCACTTATTGTTTCTATCGCTAGTCATTATCAGATTTTAGAAAGTTGTTTAAATTTTAACATCTGTTATTTCATCGTCACATAGACAGAGAGTGACACTTTGAGGCACAGTTTTCTCTTACTTTGAGAATAATACTCCCAAACACAATTGCATTAGCTACGTGCCACCCAACTGGGTGCCATTTTCTTTCACCCGTTGTCTCGGTACTTTCTCTCTTTCTTTCAGCATCTGATGAGTTAATTTGCCAAGTTTACGGCAAAAAATTCTTCAACTGAAAAATAGAGTTTTGCTTCACTGACAAAACGTGCACTGGGGCAAACCTAACTCACTTGACTTCTGCTACTTTCACTGTTAAGTCTGTACAAGTCAGTTGTCTTCAGACACGACAAATTGCGCCAAAGCATTTGAGCAAGAATCTGAACAAGCAAGATATACTGTGGCCAATCTAAACAACAGTGTCACCTAAAATGGGTTCTAGCTAATGGTAATAATTCAAGGACAGGCCAGCAGTACAGCTGTACAGTGTTTTCTCGCATGTTCATCAATTTAACAAAAAGTTCAGAGGGGTGCCTGATAAAGTGATTCTCACTTTACTACTAAAATTGATTCGATTGTCGGCAGTGTACAGCAAGCACAAAGATTGCTAACAGATTGTCTGAAGAGAAAGGATTCAGCATTGAAAAGATGTAACAGCACTAGCAGTGTGGCACTCCTCACAGACTCCAAAAACAATTGAACCAGCAATAGTAAAAGAACGACTGTCTTAGATGTGCAGCCAGCCATTTAGCTACAACTGCTGCTCTGCCACCAGTGGTTTTGTGCCAATTTGGTGGAGACAAAAGCTGACAATGAGACTCAGCTGACAGTGCTGTTGCTCAATCAACTGCTCTTGCCGTTGTCTGGTGCCAATTTGGCAGATGGCAAAGTGGTAATTGACCGTGGTAGGAAACAACAAGTGGCTGGGAGAAGTGCGTTTAAACAGTGAAGGATTAGTGATGTGATCGGCAAAAACTAATGATTTTCTGTAAAATGGCATCAGGCAATTCCTATGGAAGTGCGGCATATCGTCTTTCTTCTGGTCGTATTCATTCTATATGTGATATTTGGCGGCTTCGTCTTTATGCTCCTTGAATCACCGGAAGAGCAAATCAAGCGAAAGGAGATTGAAAGCATACTCAATGACTTCACAGGTTAGTTCGTTCAGGCATTTACTCCTCGTAAAGCTTGACTCACCCTGACACTGAAATATTTTCCTTTCAGAACATATCAAACAGCTGAATGACAGTCAAATAAGCGAGTCATACATACATTTGATGATTCACAAACTTCTGGTGGCGCAGGATAACAATCTGGTCGACAGTTTTGGTAAACAGAGCGAGTACATCAACTGGAGCTTCATCAACAGTTTCTTCTTTGCAATAACCGTCACGACGACCATCGGCTACGGACACTTGACTCCGTCGACGTTCTTCGGTAAGTGCTCTATTCTCAAGTCACTGTAGCACAAATTAGATAAGCCATTTGCGTATGTTTCAGGAAAAATTTTCTGCATTGTCTACGCTTTGTTTGGCATTCCCATCACTGGTTTGCTGATTGGCAGCCTAGCTGATCGTTTCAGTAAGCTCTACTCGCCAAAAGTAAGCACATTTAGCTATCAAGGTAAACTGTACTTATCACGTTTTTCTTTTTAATTAAGACAATCATTCGGAAAACAAACACATACCAGCGACAGCTTTCTGCTCGTTTGCTAATGCTTAAAAAGGGTCTTATATCACTAGTGCCCTGGTTCTTTGTCTTTCTCGTCGTGCCTGCCCTTATCTTTACATTCTTCGAAGACTGGACCTTTCTTGACGGTTTCTACTACTGCTTTGTCACGCTCTCAACTATTGGCTTTGGAGACTTTGTGGCTGGCAGTTTTGAAAAGGATTACATCTGGGTGTACAAGATTCTTGTCGTCTTTTGGATTATCTTTGGCCTGGCATACCTTTCAATGGTGCTGAACTTTATAACGCAAAGTCTTCGCAGTCGACACATCTCCAATGTTATGCACTCACTACGCCATAAAATATCGTCTAATCAAAGTTTGACAAATCGGATGCGTCGCCATCCAGGCCATTTCAAACGCCAGCAATCGAGTCCAGTGGTAATGTTCACTCAAAATGGCAAAAAGATATTTTCCGGTAACATAGAAACGCTGAACAACAACAAAAACTTGACCCTAGATCACAGTCTCAACTCAACAGTCGTCAATATGGAGCCATGCCCGTGCACAAAAACCAAGGCTAACAGTAAGCTGAAAACATTCCGTTAAAATCATTATCAATGTCTCTCTCATGTTTTTTTAGATCGGAGTTTGGAATTTTTCAAGTTATTCAAACATCTAAAATCAAATAAAAACAAAAACAAAACTACACCGGAACCAAACAAACCAGTTAGTGATTCGTTAAATTTATGTTTGATAATTGTTTTTGACCAAATTCAACAACATTTTTAGAGTCTCAGGCACGCATTTGAAGACAATTCCTCAGTGAGACAAACGAGCAGTTTACCTGAGCTTACTGGTAAGCTTTTTTATTAGTATTTTATTTTAACAGTTAATCTTTTTGGTACTTTTTAGCTGAATACACCGAACCTTCGTGCTCTGAAAAAAGTGACGACAGCCCCAAGATAACCGTCGTCTAGGAAAGCTATCAATAATGTTAAGAATTGAGCTTAGTCAATTTATTGGACTGAATTCCTTTTGATATATCTTTTTGCTCTAATGTTACCGATTTAATTGTCCTTGAAGCCCACCTCTAGTCGACCTCAAGTGCCAAATGTTGCTGTTTGTTTTAAAACAAGCCTCTGGATTAATCGAATCGTTTAACAAATTAATTTTTTATTGTGACTATCCTTCTGTAAATATTTCTTATTTATTCTTTGTACTCTTTTTGTTAAAGTGGTGTTTAAATATTACATATTATTATTTTTGTATGATTTTTTACTTATTAAGTTTATGAGTTATTCCCTCTGCAGTTCACTTCATCAAAAGTTGTGAAAAGTCAATATGATTTACTTACCATAATCAAAAACGCTTTCTCTAATTATGAGTTTTTTAAACTGTCTACAGAATAACTTCTCAAATCGTCATCATTACTGATTAGATTGTTTGGTAAGAATTAAGAAAAAAGTTTTTAATAACATCAAAAAGAGCAATCGCTTGACGAGTTTCATTGTCCATCCACACTTTTTCGGTTCCTTGCTCTTGCTGGTAGTCCTCCTTTTCCTCCTCTTCCTCTATTTTATCTATTTTATTTTAAAAGATACATTAATTAAATCAAACAGCAACTTTGTCTGCTGCACAATTTCATTAGCTTGTCTATTGCGTTTAATTTTGTGCAATTGGTTATTCGGTAATCTTAGCATTAAATTTGAGACAGACGAGGTTAGCACTACTCTCATCGACAAGTTTGATAGTCACGCCAACGGCAATGGCAGGATAGGCAGCCTTGATGGGAAGTTCCATTTTAAATTGGGTCTTGTCACCGGTGGTCAGTGGACAGTTGAGACCGTAGTTGCCGCATGCCTCTTTTGGGTTGACGGGAAAGGGAATCGGCACGCCGGCTACATCGCCAATGATTTTCGTTTGGACAGACGTTGCTGCGTAATCTGCACAGAAAATTATTTTTAAAATGATTATTAAAAAATTATTGTTTAAACACTTACTGGGCACAAAGTTTACTTCAATGGAAACATTGGTGTTCTTCTTAAACACGCAAAATCGATCCGTGTTTTTGCAGTTTAAGATGCTAACTGACTGAAAGGTCCCATGTGGAGAATCACAAAGAGTGACCAGTTTACCATTCACAGTTGGGCCAGTCAGAAGGACCAGCAAAAAGCCGGACAAGAGAAAAACTGGTAGATTCATTTGGAATAAGTAAACTCTCGCTGTGTGTGTGAGCAATGAGTGCTACAACTGTTCACCACTTTGGCTGTTGATTGCTTTTATAGCGATAACGAGGGGATACTGATAGGCGAAGAAGCGCTCTGCTGAAGACAACTGCCTAACGCATCATCGCCACTACCACTACTCAGTTCAGGCAATTTTCAATGTGAATGCGTCGCAAAGAGCACTTGTACAAACATCAAAGTAGACAATGTAGTCAGACTGCACTAAATAAATAAATGTGCGATCCTAATTTACGGCATTTTTCAGATCAGTTTTATGTGACAATTTTCCGCAATATAAAACCCCAACTGGTACGATGTTTAGTTCGGTAAAGTATGTAAGATGGCATTTTATCAGTCAAAGACATCTGTTGTACTTTTAGCGTAAATGCACCAACTGGCTGATAAGAAAAATCTGAATGTGCAGATTTAAATGAGAAAGAAAGTTTTTTGGCAAATCGAGAAAAGCTTTCCACAGTGTCTGCTCTTACAGTGGCCTGTACAGCGGCCACCTCCGAGCAGCCACTGTTTACATCACCAGACAAGTTTGCCTGCGCCAGAGTTGCTATATCGGTGGGCGTCCTCAGGCTCACTCATACTTCTCTCACTCGGCTCATCTGTCTGCGTCTGAATCACAGTGTCGACTTCCACATCGTCTTGTCCCAGTCTAGCCCAGTCCACTCCGCTCCAGCTGTTCCACTTGCCCTAGACGAGCGACCGCATTGCCGAAGATGTACCTGGAGAGTATCTTCAACGTCGACAATGGCTACTTGGAGGGCCTGGTGCGGGGCTTCAAGTGCGGCATCATCAAACAGGCTGACTACCTCAATCTGGTGCAGTGTGAAACGCTGGATGATCTGAAGCTTCACCTGCAGTCCACTGACTACGGCAACTTTCTCGCCAATGAAGCTTCTCCACTGAATGTGGCCGTCATCGATGATAAGCTGAGAGAGAAGTTGGTCGCTGAGTTTCAGCACATTCGCAACCATGCCGTGGAACCACTGTCAACTTTCCTCGACTACATTCTGCATTCCTACATGATTGATAACATTATCTTGCTGATTACCGGTCCGTTCTCTTTGTTTTACACTGCCCAAACTCTATCCTAACTCTTGCATTTTCACATAGGCACCCTGCACCAGCGCCCGCTCTCTGAGCTCATTCCCAAATGTCACCCACTGGGCTCCTTCGACCAGATGGAGGCAATTCACGTCGCCTCGACGCCGTCAGACCTCTACAACGCAGTACTTGTGGACACTCCGTTGGCTCCCTACTTTGTGGATTGCATTGGCGAACAAGATCTCGACGAAATGAACATTGAGATTATCCGAAACACCGTCTACAAGGCATATCTTGAGTCATTCTACAAGTTCTGCAAAGACCTCGGTGGCTCTACTGCTGAGGTCATGTGTGAAATTTTGGGTATTTTTGACGCTTTTTTTCCTAGAGTCGATATTTGTTCTAACTGCTGTTTTGTTATAATTTATATATAGCTTTCGAAGCTGATCGCCGTGCTTTTATCATAACCATCAACTCTTTTGGAACTGAGCTCTCCAAAGAAGACCGCGCTAAGCTGTACCCAACTTGCGGAAAACTTCATCCGTATGGTCTTGCTTCTCTTGCCAATGCTGACGACTACGAACAAGTGCGCTCGGTGGCAGAGCTGTATGCCGAGTATCGAGTCCTCTTTGAGTCCCAGTCCAATGCTGAGAATAAGACACTGGAGGACAAGTTCTTTGAGCACGAAGTCAAGCTGAATGTCAACGCATTTTTGCAGCAGTTCCACTTTGGCGTCTTTTACGCCTATCTTAAGCTAAAGGAGCAGGAAAGTCGCAACATCATTTGGATTGCAGAGTGCGTCGCACAGCAGCACAAAGCCCGCATTGACAATTACATTCCCATTTTGTAAGATGAAAATGGTCCTGCTGAGTCCTCAAGTGTGCTGTTTCCTCCTTCTCTCTCGGAACTATTTGTGGTTTTTAAATTCTTTGTTAATTTATTTATATTTTATGTTTACTTCCAGCATCTGATAGCCAAGTACTACAGCACACTGCAATGTTGTTGCTGAACACCGCAGACTCTCATCAAAAGTATCATTGTTCACGTAGCAAAGACTAGCAAAGCGTGTCTCTAAGCTAATCTGTGTCAATCTTATCAATTTTAAATTTATAATCAGGCAACATTAAAGTGTCGATCAAGTGTGAACTGTAAGTTTTTCTTATTTTTTACTGTGTCAGAGTTATCCGACAAGAGAAATGCAATGCGCTTGCGCAGCGCAGCTGCTGACTTGAATTGTTGATCACATGTTTGCCCAGGTAAACATCATTAGATGCTTTTGAAAGAGTGATTTTGTCCGACGAGGCAGATTCGGATGAGTGATGGCATCGGTAAAGCGAGAGATACTCTCTCAACTGAAGAGGGTTGGCCTGCATTTTGAAAAGTCAGCCATTCGGGTTTTACCGCCTTCAACGGTGGAAGATGTCGCCGGTAAGAATGAACTAGGCCGGACATTTGCAATTGAAATGCCGGCAAACGAAGGACTGAAGATTAAAGACTCACTTCTCAAGGTAACGTTGATGATTGTTTTTTAAAAAGCCATTAACTATTTGTTTCTCTAGGAGCTTCGGAGTAGGTCGCCTTTTATTGACAATGTTTACCAGAGCTCAAATTCAGTTGATTGTGGAGCGAGCAGAATACTATTTCAAATCAATTTTGAGCATCTAATTAAAGAACTATTTGCTGATTTGGGAGCCATTTCTAACGACTGTTCATCTCAGGCAAAGGACAATATTGATGAAGACTTTCGAAAGACAATCATTGTCGAGTATTCATCTCCGAACATAGCTAAGCCATTTCACGTTGGTAACCTGCGATCAGCTATCATTGGGAACTGTGTGGCAAATGTGCTACAGTTTCGTGGCCATAATGTTATTCGCATGAACTACCTCGGTGACTGGGGCACACAGTTTGGCATCCTCAGTCTGGCCTATGATCGCTTCGGCAGTGAGTCTCTACTTCAAGCTGAACCTTTGAAGCACCTTTTTGATGTCTACGTCAAGGGAAATCAGGAGATTGAGAAAAACACTGAATGGAGAGACGCCGCAAAAGAGCGTTTCACCCGACTGGAGTCACAAGCCGATCCAGCCACATTTGAGCAGTGGGCCAGGTTCCGCGAGTTGAGCCTGCAAGAGCTTAAGAGCTTATACCAGCGTCTGGGCATTACTTTTGACGTTTACAGCAGTGAATCGATGTACACACGAGCATCGCTGAACATTGTAGAACAGCTGAAGAACAGAGGCCTTGTCGAACAGAGTGAAGACGGAGCACTGCTGGCCACCACGCCCAGCTTTGATAATCCCAATCTGCCAATTAGTGTTCCGCTGTTGAAGAGTGATGGAAGTACACTATACCTTACCCGCGACCTTGCCGCCGCTGTTGACCGCAAAGAGCAATACAACTTTGACCGAATGTACTATGTGGTGGACAGTAGCCAGGCAAAACACTTCTGGAACTTAAAAAGCATCCTCAACGCCATGGGCAACAATATTTACAGGTACGATCTTCTGAATATAGCCGTCATGTTTTATTAATTGAATAATCTAGAGATATGAAACATCTCAAGTTTGGGCGAATCGTCGGCATGAGTACACGCCGCGGAAACGCTATATTTCTTGATGATGTTCTCAACGAAGCAAAGGAGCGTGCACTCTCTGCAATCAAAAGTAGTCCCAGTACGTTTTTGAATTAAAAAGTTAATGATGAAAAGACTTAATTAAAAAGCTACCTCCCAACAGATACAAAGATCTCTCCTGAGCAGTACGAGTCCGTGGCTGACAAACTGGGTGTGTCGGCCATTGTCGTCAATGATCTGTCTAATCGACGCGTTAGAGAGTATCGCTTTAACTGGGACAAGGCACTTCGTCTGACAGGTGACACTGGCATCTCCCTGCAGTACACACATGCTCGTCTGTGCAATCTTGAGCTGAACTGTGGCGTCGAGCTGTCGCCGAATTGTGATATTGATGTGGCTGCCATCGACACTGCCGAAGGTCGGATGCTAATTAACCTCTTGGCCATGTTTGATCAGGTGATCGAGCGAACTGCCGAAGAGCTAGAGCCAAGCCTACTGGCACATTACCTCTTTGACTTGAAGTAAGCTTTTCTGAACAAAGAAACGGGCGACAAACTAATGATCGTGTTCTTTTTTACCTCTTAGAAGTGCCATCAATCGTGCCAACCAAGAATTGACTGTCAAAGGAGAGAGTCCTTTGGTGGCCCAAACGAGGCTACAGTTATTCCGCTGTGCGCAGAGGGTTTTCAGTCAAAGTATGCGTCTTCTTGGCCTCACACCTTTGCAAGCAATATAGTTGAGAGAAAATAAAGTGAAATAAATAAATTTTTGTATTTAGATTATAAAAGTAGTGGCTCAAAATAAAAATATTCATGTAAAATGTATTGAGCTCTATCACATTCACTGGTTAGAAGGATGCCATCTTATCAACGTCGACTATTCCGCGTGATTTCTAAGGTTAGGGTCATTTTGAGGATCGAGGAATGGGTCATTTTCAGCTGACTGCCGGCCAAACTTGAGGAAGAAGTGAACCAAGATAAAGAGGATCAGGAAGCCGAAAAAGCCATAGATGATAAACTTCTTATACACACCGAGGCCGCTCAGGGCAGATTGATTTCGCATGTAGGACGATCGCGATCTGTAGGAAGGTGATTAGTTGGACAATGAACATCGATTGGCTCTTTAAAATGTTTACCTCAACCATCGAGAGAAAAACTCTACAGGCGATTTGGTTCGGTACTTATCTTCGGCTATATCATTTGCGAGCAACGACCTGCGTGATTCGCTATCAAACTTTGAGCGCATCGATGAACTTGAACCAAAACCTATGTCGCTATTTGTAGAGATAAATGAGGTGACATTACTGACGGAAATAGGTGATGAAAAGGTGGTTTTGCTGGGCAGGTTGTGCAGAATCTTCGGTGCAAAATTGTTGACGCTGTTAGAACTGGTCGTAGACGTAGCCATATCGATGTTGGTAGAGTCATTTAGAAGACTTGAAACGGCAGTGTTGCCGTTGGACAGCGATTGGTTTGCTGATGTCGAGCTGTTCATCAAGCCTAGACCGATGCCTTCACGAGCCCAGGCAAAGTTGGCCAAGTTTGCTTCGAGAGCAGCAGCAACTGGTGACTTTGTCGAACCCGGCGTGAAAGAAAATATTGGCATTGTACATATTGGGCAAGTGTATCCTGCCGGTGCCGTGTTCGGGGGCAAACGGCTCGCGTAATTGTTAAGGCATTCCAAATGCAGAATGTGGTAACAAGTCAATCGCACGCAAGGCGCTTGAGTAAGACCGGTTTTGCAGAAACAGCAATTCGAGTCAAAGTTGCTATTTTCAAGCCACTGAAGATAGGGACCGACGATGCACTGAGAGGGTAAACATCAATATGTCAGTCGATGTGTCACAAATCAGCAATCAAATCCTACCGTTTGATGTCCATCCGTTGTCATGCAGTGTTCACACACGTTCAGCTTGTGTTGAAAGCAAAACTGATTTGTCACCTTCTTTTTGGGACACTTGCACAGGCCCATTGTGGTTGGTGGAGGAGGTGGTGATGAGGATTGTGTACTGCAGCCGTACAAAGTGGTACGGCACCCGATCTGATGATTGTGAAAGCGTTCTGTGCGATCGTGGCACTCGGCGAAAACACAATTTGTGTTGTGCTTACGAGCAAAACTTTCCGTACCGATACTTTCCTCAAAGTGCTACAACAGCTACGAAAACAAATAACCTCTGCCGTGCATCAAGAGACTTTTTTGTTGCAAAAAATTTTCTGTTTGCTAAGACGCCGTCTATCGGCTGAGTTTTGTTTTGGTTGGTTTGCAGCTCACATGAAACGATTTTCTTCAATATTGATTCATAATTTCGTGCTTTATTCTTAAATCATGTCGCTAGTGGGCTATGATTATAGTGATAGTGAAGAAGACGATCAGGAGGTGGCTAATCAACAAGAAGAGCCCATAAAAAATGTTTCAGAAAAACTGGCTGGAACAACCACTGAACTGGGAAATTCATCAACTTCATCAACCAGCAACAGCGAGTCAACAAATGCACCAACAAAACCTTCACAACTTCCACCTGCTCAACCAGTGATTTCAACTTTAAAGAAAGATCTTGTAAAACGATCTGCTAATGGTCGCATTCAGATCACCGCTGATTTATCGCTGTTGAATGCTCAGCACAGTGATGATTCAGACGATGAAGAAGAGCGAGAAAGAAAAAGATTGAAAAGGTCTATGCAAGGATCGAGGTTAATTACGATGTTACCGAAACCTAAAAATCCTACAAAGCCAACTGTACAACCAAAGTCGTCACTTACATCACTCGTTCCTAATTCTGTCGCAAACCGTTCAAAAGCACAAAACCCTGTTTCAACAACGGCAACGGAGACTGTTGAAAAGAAACCAGAAAAGCCAACCTCTTCAACGTCTAGTTTCTTTTTCACAAATAGCGATGATGATGATGAGGATGACGATAATCCGCTGCCGACAACTGCAAAAGAAATATACCCGACTGCTTTTCCTACTTCTGCCATTGCGCCTGACCTTGATGCACGTCCTGTGTATGGTCCTTCTAAGCCTGAAATTATACCCGAAGCTATCCTCGCTGATAGCCTTTACAGTCCAATCGACCAGTCAGTGCCCAAACTGGATCCTAACAATGATATTACATATAAGAAGTACATTGCTTCTAAATTCGGCGAGGAAGCTTCGGCTGGAGGCATCAAATTTGTTGACTTTGACATGTCTAAACATCTTTCGCAGAACACTGACTGGATAAAGAACATTACCATTGAAAAAGAGGATCGCGATGAAGAGGAAGATGAGAAGAGCGCTCCAAATTCTACTGCTCGCAGGAAGAACCAAATTACTTTCCTTGCGTACCAGGCAAAGAAGCGCGAAACCGAGTTAAAGAACCAGTGGGCTGCAAACCGTTTGTCAAAAAATCAGACTCGAGCTAAATATGGCTTCTAGGTATTACCATATCCTTTTAGCAACTCAAATTTGTAATGATTATTTCTTAATTTATGAATCAATAAGGAATTATTTACACTATCAAAATAATATTTTTGTCCAAGTTTCTCTCTCTTGTATGAATACAAATAATTTCTGCACGTTGTACTTGCCCATCTTTATCGATTTTCAGATTGTCCACCGAACATCTCTTGTGAAGCATAAGTTATAAAGAGGAAGCCATCTTCATCCTTGTTCTCCTTGTAAATCTCCGCCATTGTTTTAGTCATTGAAGCGAGAGTCCGATTGTTGATGATCAGATAGAAAGCTTGTGTCTGGCTGATGTGCATTCGGTTTCTGCGTGGTAAAAATTATAAATATTAAATTTTTTTTGTTAAAAAGAGTACATTATACCTGATGACTGCCACAAATTTAGCCATTTGCAAATCTTGTGGGACAAGAAACTTTGTTTTATCAAGTCTAGGCAAGTTCCGCTCTTTACTATATCTTTCCACAATCACGGGGATTTTGTTGGGAAAGCGTAGTCGAATTCCAATTACCTCTTCTCGTCTGGATGCTGATATAAAAGAAACGGGTATTAAGACACTGATTCATTGTTTGTTTGCTCACCGAATGATTTTCGCTGCTTGTATGGCTTGTCATTGGCTTGAGGGGAAGGATTTTTTCGAAAAATATTGAGTGACATTTTGTTTGAGTGTGAGTGAGTGTTCGAGTTTCTTCTGCAAGCTATTCGATCNCACTGATTCATTGTTTGTTTGCTCACCGAATGATTTTCGCTGCTTGTATGGCTTGTCATTGGCTTGAGGGGAAGGATTTTTTCGGAAAATATTGAGTGACATTTTGTTTGAGTGTGAGTGAGTGTTCGAGTTTCTTCTTCTAGCTATTAGATTGAAGCTTCCTAATTGGGCCACAAAGTGGTCGCACGTCGGGAGATTTGCTGATGCGACAGTGGTGATCAAAGTGTCAGAGTCGAAGTTGACAATCTGCCGCCGATGTAAACATGCGAAATGCGCCACTGATTGGTCGAGGTTTTTTGTACCGTTAGGCACAATGTTGCTGTGACCACCACGACTCTCTCTCTCTCTCTCTCTCTCTCTCTCTCTCTCTCTCTCTGTCTCCCTCTCTTTCTCTCTTATCAACCACCCCGAGAAGACTGTTCAGAGAGGCTTAGGGCGATAAGCCGTGTGGACATTGACTGGTGCTGGGCAATGCTAGTCAAAACTGCATCAGTGCCAAGTGACAACGTCCAATCAGTGAGAGGTAGTAAACACAATTATTGAAGCAACTGAGACCAAATTGACTGATCTTATCAAGGAGAGAGAGAGAGAGAGAGAGAGAGCGAGGCATTGTTCTAGACTATCAGATGGTGACACCTATCAGCCGATGAGTGTTCGATGGTGCGGCATGCAGTAATGCGTGTCAGTGAATCATTTGCACCTGACCGCATCGCAAAGAATCACAAAGGCACAGCATTTGACCGGTTTGAAGATTTTGGAGTTCATCCAAAAATCTTCTAGATGCAGCTTGGCATCAGATAGGCAAATCTGTTGATTTGTCTGTAAGGAAATCCCTGTAAAACGAAAATTTACGTATTCCGCAAATGAGTCTGCTTTGAAATTAAATCAGAGAACAATGTGCGCATGTACTAGCTGATTTTTGGGTATTTTTTGTTGGATCGGGTAAACACCGTTTCCTGCTCATTTCTCGGTGCAGTGTGTTTTGGTTACTTCAACAAACATTTTTAGGAGTTATAAAAATATGAAACCAGAACGTTCGTTTGATCGACTTATTTCGGTGCATCTCATTGAACGTCGTGAAGATGATCTAGATGACTCGAGTCACTTTTTTTGGCATTGGACCTACCCAACGATCACTTTAACTGATCGTTGCTTAATTGAGAAGCGGCTCTACTCAAAAGCAATTCACACAGACAACTTTGATTTTTACCGGCTGAACAGCAGCACCTGGGCGTATGTTGTGCCGACCACTTGTCGCAAACACCTCTTTCTTCTGCTGACAAGTGACTTTTGCCCGCACACCTACCGCAAACTGCTTACCAACTTTGCCATCCTTGTTCTTCATAAAGTGACTTTTCAACGATTCCTACACTACTACCTCAGTCTGCTGATCACCGAGTGCCCAGTACCGGTGAGTGAGCTCAGTGGGCGTCTGCTCAGCATTGACGTCGACCTTGCCGACACTCCTTTGGCACGTCAAAGTCATATCAAGTCCATTATTCGACTCTTCCACCTTGATGTCATTCTCATATACACTGCCTTGCTTTTGAAGCGAAAAATCGCCATCTACCATCACAACCAATCGACACTGCTTGACTTTTGCTTGGCTCTTCCCAGCTTTGTTTCCCACCGACCAGAGGTGGACACGCACCAGAGTCTTTACCCAAATGTCGACTTACATGTTCCCGAACAGCTAGAACACCTCGCCAAGCTCAATCATTTTATCGCAACTTTTAATGATGCTGCCATCGGAGAGCAGGTCGATCTGTACGATATCTACATCAACTTGGCAGCTGTGGAAATTAATATCAGCAATAAAGCACGAGAAATTTTTTCAATGACAAAAACTCACAAAGAGGTTGCCGTGGCCCTCGTTCGAGCAGCGGAAAACGAATCAACTTCTAGCGAAGATGTGATTGCGGAAATTTGCAAAAAGACTAAAGAACTAAAGACGACTTTAACGCAAATTTGCAAAGATCCGTTTGCTGAGAATCATACTCCCGAAAATGACATGTTCATGATAAGTAAAGATACATTAAAACAAAAGTTACTATCACCTAATTTGGAGTCTTTCTACTGGAACTTTGCTGTAGCAGAAGGAATGGCCAAGATGGAAATGCTGAAAATGAATTAACTCAACTGTTTTATGAATTGTATTAGTGTATTGAAAAATAAACCTTTAATCCAAAATGAACAACGTATAATATTGAGAAAACCATAGATTATTTGACAAGGGGACGATTCTTATCCTCATCGTCACCAAATTTTGCTTTGTACATTCGAACCTCTTTCATGTAGTGATCCCAAGCAGACCCACCCTTCTGTTCTGCATCGTCTTCAGCATCGTCGATATTCCTTTTCTTATTGATGATACCAACTTTGAGGACTTTTGGTTTTCGTTTTGCCTGTAGAATATTCTGAATATTAGCCATAGAAGAATACTTAAATGTTTCACATGAAAAACCTCGATCGGTTTAGGTGCTTCCACACTTGTTTTTGGTTCATTTGCTGCACCGATGTCTTTGATCACGTTTTTGCTATCATTCTTATTATTCTGTTGCTGCATCTTCTTGAACATTTCTAAAAATGACCCATCGTCAGCAAATTTGTTGACTGTGGACTTTTCTTCGCCGTCGCTACTATCATCAGAACATCTTCTCGGTCGCTTCAGCTGCTCGCTTTTCTTTTTTGTATCTGACATTGAGAATAAATGTGGTGGCAAGATAAACAGATACAAAAAACGTTTTGAAAGACTCGCAGTCTAAAAGTAACATAAAAGTAAACAACTTGTTTATTTTTTGCATTTTGACTTGACATTTCTCCAAAATGACAATTGTCCGAACTACACATGGCTTCAAACTGGGCTTTGCTGATTAAAAAAATATTTTGCAAAAAAGCGCTTTCAATAACTTGTTTTTATTTTACAAATTCTCTGAACTTTCGTAATAGGTAATGGTAAAAATGACAAACATGTATGAAAAGAATGAAAAGAAATATTTGCAGATGATAAAGGAACGAAGGAGGATATAATAAATAAAAAGTGTGTTTTTGGCAGTGTACAGTTAAAAGTACTCCAGCGAATACTTGCGCTGCTGCCTGGAATGATCCTTGAAGATGGCAGTCATTTCGCTGCTTTGGTTCAGCGAAGAATTGCCACTGCTGGAAGACTGAGAGGACAGGTCAATACTGCTGCTGTTCAGTACATTGCCATTGTGACTAGCACTACGCTCCGTTTCGCTGATNCATGTATGAAAAGAATGAAAAGAAATATTTGCAGATGATAAAGGAACGAAGGAGGATATAATAAATAAAAAGTGTGTTTTTGGCAGTGTACAGTTAAAAGTACTCCAGCGAATACTTGCGCTGCTGCCTGGAATGATCCTTGAAGATGGCAGTCATTTCGCTGCTTTGGTTCAGCGAAGAATTACCACTGCTGGAAGACTGAGAGGACAGGTCAATACTGCTGCTGTTCAGTACATTGCCATTGTGACTAGCACTACGCTCCGTTTCGCTGACCACACTCGAAGAGGCTGGGTTCGTTCGTGTCGACGTCGAGTAGGACGAAGAGACGGTGTTCTTTGTGCTCGAGGAGTTTGTCATCGAGCGTAAGTAGTCTTGCCCAATCATTTGGTAGAAACGCTTCTTCACTGCTCCTGATGTTTTGCTGTCAAAGACGAACTGTGTTATGAAAATGAAAACGCCCTATAACATAAAAGTAGTCTTATTAGAAATGAGTTTAGTGCACCAGACGAAACTACTACTAACCTGGAGACCATTCAGAACAATGAAAATGTAGGAAAAGAAGTGTCCGTACTGGTGAATGTACAGCACATAGGTAATCCAGGTGATACCCATGAGGACAATCAGTGACACGTAGCCTTTAATGTATGACATCCACTGTGAGATTTGCTTCTCCAGTGGCACATCACTGGAAGATTGCTTTGAGTGGCTCGTATTGGAATTTGAAGCAGCAGAGTTCTTTTCGAAGAGGCGCTTCTTTGAATTGGCACTAGATCCACTGTTGCTGCTAGTGTCGCTGCCATTGGCGAGGTTAATGTTCCGCTGACGATTCGAGGTGGAATAGGCGCCAGTGGGCGAGGAGGAAACGATAGACGAAGTCGTCTTTGAAGGTGAACTTGATGAACTAGCCGGCCGAAGAGCTCTACCACTTTTGCCAAATTTCATTTGAAAGACCGTTCTCAGAACCAGGTACATGATGACAGTGTTGATGATGATCACCAGAGTGGCTGGTACTATGAGTGC